TCTCTCTTGCACTAGTTCAAGAACGCAACAGGTTCCCCCCTAATGATAGTCTAGCGTAGAACGGAGGAGAAGGAAGGGGGAGAAGGAAGATGGGGAGGGGGAGGAGGGGGAGGAGGAGAGGGAGGAGGGGAAGGAGTTCAGATGAAACGCCCTCTGGCCCTTCGTGGGCCCTGGAACCGGCAAGGCCTGTCTTGTCACCGAATTCGAATTGCCGTTTTCGATTGCCGGTTCCGGCGTTTTTTTCTCTGGTTCCGTCGCCGTTTTGCCGGTTCCGGTTCCGGCTCCAATTCCCGAGCAGTGTTTGTTCCCGTTTCTGGCTGCCTTTTGTCTAACGCTCCCATGTTCAAGAAACACACTTTCCGGAAGCAATGCATAACCTGCCCTGCCGCTTCCCGGGCCCGCAAAGCTCTGGCCTGCTCAGAAACCACCCACTGCTGCTTGGGAGGAGGCTAAGAGAGCTGCCCAGAAGGCCAGAGGCCCTCTGAGCCTTCTGGGAATCCCCGCTCAGCTCCCTATACCTTCCTCCGGTGGCAACTCACGGGAGCCTCCCATACCATCTTGTCGGCTCTCGCGAATCGACGCTGGTCGACGTTGAGTCGACGCGAATCGACGCTAAATCGATGCCAATCGACGCGAGCCGACGCGAAATCGGCGCTGTCTCAGCGACTCCCAGACGCTAACCGACGCGAGCTGACGCCAAAGACTGCATCGAGAGGGTACGCCAGGCCCCCCTGACTTGCGACCGAACCTTCCCCCCCTGGGCGCGCCGACGAGAAGGGCAACTCCAGAGTGTGCTTGGTCCGTTGTTTTTCCTAGAAAAAACAAAAAACAAAACAAAAACAAAAAAACGCGAAAAAATGCGGAAATAACGGAAACAAAAGAGACAACACGAAAACGCGAAAAAAACAAAAACGCTAAAAAACGAAACATCAACAAAAACGCGGGGGAAAAAAATCAATCAGAGAAAACGCGGAAAAAAACAAAAACAAAAAACAAACCAACAACAAAAAAAAACGTCCAGAGTGTTTTTAGCAGCAGCCGCCCTCGCCTCCGACTCGCCGCGCTGACCCCCGAGCTCTCCCCTGCGCGGCCCGAGGGCGAGGCGACGCATAGATGTAGAGGGGCCGCCGGCGCCCGCCTGTGCTGGCGCTGGTGCCGCTCCCGCCCTTCGAGGAGGGCGGATCCTCGGGCGGCGCGCGGATGGGGGGGGGGGGGAGGGCGAGGGGCACCGATGGGGGGGACGGGCATAGTGTTATGTCGGGCGTGTCCCCCTGCAGGGGGATTTCAGACGAACGAGTAAAAAGACACCCAACATGCCCCAAAAAGGTCACACAAATACTGAACAAAAAAGGCCCCGACTATTTTTGGAGTATTGTTTTGATTATTTTTGGCTAATTTTGTATTTGTCGTTCAAAACCCCCCCTGTAGGGGGACAGGCCCGACTTAAGCATAGGGGGGGATGCCTCGACCTGGAATCGGCGATACGTCGCCGATGGATCGGCGATGGGCCTCCGAGAGTGAAGCCGCGCCTTCCTGGGCAGCTTGGGGCGATCGGGCCCCCATCGGCGATCGATGGGCGATGGGGGTCGATGCATTGCCCCCCTGTGCCTAGTGCCTATCCCCCCCTTATCGTTGCCCCCGAGGGGCGGGGGGGGGGGAGGGCGCGCCGTCGCTGTCTCGGCTGGCCATCGCTCGGACGTCCATTCCCTGTGCTTTTGTCGGTTTCGTACGTGTTTTTTTCGCCAGGCGGTCAAGGATGCTCCTCGATGGTCCTCGCCGAAAGAAAAATGCGCATGTCTGAGCGATGCCAAGCCGGGGGGCATGCTCTCTTCTGCCGCGCTCGAGCCGCGGGCCCCTCGCTGCCCGTCGCTCCAGGGCCGCCGTCGTCGGCGGCGGCGTGCGGCGGTCTCTTAGAAGGGCGAGCTGCGGCGGTCTCTGCGGCGGCCTGCGGACGGTCCTCGGCGGTCCTCGGCGGCCCGTGGCGGATGTCGGCGCGAAGGCTGAGCGGCTGCGTTCACCGAGGGGTCCATGACCGAGCACCTAAGCTCTTGGACGCCGGAAGGACACGGTGCGCCCACGCGTTCAGCCTGAGAAGAGGCTGAACTTCATCACGTCGTCGTGTGCGCACGGGCGGGTGCACGAGCGTTCCCGCCCACGGGGAGCTGGCTGTGATCAGACACTGCGACTTGGAGAGCCAGTTCACGGCTGGAGAGCTCCTCGGATGGCTCCAGCACAATGAAAACGCTTGGGCCCAGCAGGAGCTCCAGGGAAGAGCCGAGACGAACCAGGTCCAGAGGTCCAGGTTTCCAGAAATGCGCACCCCACCTGTGTAATCGCCATCGCACGCATAAGTCACATTGCCGTGATCACGCTCGTCCAGGTCACAGGGCGGTCACCCCTAGTCACACACCATCATCGCTATCAACAGTCGTCGCCGTCGTCGTTCTCGCCGCCACCATCCTCATCATGGCCACCGTCAACAACGATCTCCCGAAATCAGAAGTCGCTCCCAGTGTCTTATCTACGTCAACCATGGGTATACATATATATATATATATATATATATACATATACTCCAACTCTCTGCGGTAGGTTCTCTTGTAAGTTTAGATGCTGACGCCTCTGCTCCCCTGGCTCCGGCAACTTCCGTTTTGACTGCCGCTGGATTTCAACCGCCCACCCGCTCCAGCCACCACACAACCCTTTATTATCTTCGAAGCAGTGCCACCAACAGCAGTAGCAAGTAGCAATAAGAATAATAGCACGTGCAACGACCATGATCGCGAAGTCGCGGCGCCTGTCGTACGGACACACGCAGCACAAGCCTTGGAGGTGCAGGTAGTAATGATAGCAGGTGGTGGCAGCATCACCGACACCCGCACTCGCATCACAGTGGGAAACGCAATCGCAGGTTCTAGAATTCAAGGGCTCTGGGATTCTGAGAATCTGGGATTCTGGGAGTCTAGGATTCTGGGATTCAGGGACTGGGTTTGTGGGATCCTGGGATTCTGGGATAGTCCAGGCGCAACAGGAGGATGCTGGGATTCTGGGCTGGCCTCGCAAGCGCCCGCAAACGGGCACGGAAGATCCCAGGAACAACAAAAACAAACAACTTATACATTTATATATATGTACATTTTTAAACAAAAAACAAACAAACAAAAAACAAAACAACAAAAATAACGCCAGGGGCGACGCCGGGCGGCGAGGCCAAAGGACTGCGGCGAAAGACGAGGAGCGCCGCCACGACCAGACGAACGACCGCCGCCCCGCGAGCGAGGACGCAGCCGCCCTCGGAGGGGGCGGCAGCGGCAGGGGGTGCGTGCAGCGCTTCGGCGGGGCGGAAGAGGACGGCCGGAGCGGAAGAGGAGGCGGAGGAGGGAGGAGGGAGGAGGGAGGAGGGAGGAGGGAGGAGGAGGAGGAGGAGGGGGAGGAGGCGGAGGCGCAGAGAGGAGAACAACAACGCAACGATGAAACAAAGGGGGGCGCGAACGCGACCAGAGAGGAGAGGGCGAGGGGGATGGCAAGGACGGGGCAAGGACAATGAGAAGGAAGCAGACGCCAAGGGAGAGAAAGTGTGAAAGAGAGAGAGAGAGAGAGTGAGAGAGATCCATGATGCTCCGACGCGGGTGACGTTTACAGGATGACAGATCGCACCGATGCGACAAACGTGTACGAAGGGGGTGGTTAGTCGAAGGAAGGGACAACGGGCAATGCCAACGAGGTTGAATGCGACGAGGAGCGGAAGGATATGGAGAAAGAGAGTAACCATGAGGAGACAAAGCACCTACGATATGATAGAGAAGCACGCACGAATGCATACATACTGAGAGAGGGGGATGCCTGAGAAGAGGGAATGGGTGCAGGACCAGAGGTGCCAGAGAACAAACTTCACGAAGAGGAGGGAAGAGCGAGATGAACGAGAAGTGTGTGAGGAGGAGGAGGAGGAGGAGGAGGAGGAGAGGAGGAGGAGGAGGGAGGGAAAGGGAGCGACGGAGACGTGGCACAGTACACAAGACAAGGCATCCGGGCCGGACGCGATGTACAGAATCGTGCGCTGAGCGAGAGCACGAGGACGAGCAACGCATGGAGGAGCAGGAGGACAAGAGCGAGAGGCAGGCGGGACGCGGAGCGAGGCGGCAGCAAGGGGGGGGCGCAGGCACCGACTCTGCCGTGGTGCTCATGTTGCTGCCGCTGCTCTCGCTGTCGGGAGCCCGGGGGCCCTCCCACGAGGCCGGAGACCGGGGGCGCGGAGAGAAGCGCGAGCTGGAGAGAGCAAGCAGGGAGAGAGACGAGGCGGTCACACGTGGCAGGGGGCCACGGTTTCCCCCCGGGGCCGTAGGCGACCCGAGGAGGAGGAGGAGGAGGAGAAGGAGGAGGAGGAGGAGGAGGAGGAGGAGGAGGAGGTGGAGGAGGAGGTGATGAGATGAGATGAGATGAGCAAGCGGGCTGAAGCCAGTCGTTCGGGCGCCTAGCGCCTGTCGCTCCTCGAAATCAGAATCGTGGGCCCCTTCTGGACCCCTGTCTGCGGAGGAGGAGGAGGAGGAGGAGGAGGAGGAGGAGGAGGAGGAGGAGGGAGGAGGGAGGAGGGAGGAGGGAGGAGGAGGAGGAGAGGAGGAGGAGGAGGAGGAGGAGGAGGAGGAGGGAGGAGGAGGAGGAGGAGGAGGAGGAGGGAGGAGGAGGAGGAGGAGGAGGAGGAGGAGGAGGAGGAGGAGGAGGGAGGAGGAGGAGGGAGGAGGAGGAGGAGGAGGGAGGAGGAGGAGGAGGAGGAGGAGGAGGAGGAGGAGGAGGAGGCGGGAGGAGGAGAGAGGAGAAGGAGGAGGAGGAGGAGGAGGAGGAGGAGGAGGAGGAGGAGGAGGAGGAGGACGGGTCGCCCAAACTCTTCGGAGAAACCCTCCAGGCGGGGGGAGAGAGTGGCAGAGGCAAGGGCAGCCTGGGCAGCAGGTCGGCGGCGCATCCCCGAGGGCGTTGGAAACCCTGGCTGCCCCGGCACGCAACACGCAACACGTAGCGTATTGGTACGGAGCTCAACACGTAGACTGGCCACGTGCGTTCTGAGCACGGACGTTGTGAACACGACACATGTTACAAGTTAAAACGTGCGTATCTGAGCAGCTCAGTTGGAAACTTCTCAGAAGGCGCGGGGACTTCTGAGAGATGGCGCCGCCTTCTGAGAAGGCCTTCTCCTTCTCGCTTCCCCTGCTCGCTCGCCACCGAGAGTGCCCGAGGCAAGGAGAGAAAGGCAAGGGAAGGCAAGGGGAAAGAGTCGGGAGGCTGCGAGGGGGTGGGTGCATGGCTGGCTGACAGGCAAGCTGAGTGGCCAATTGGCCAAGTGGCCAGCTCAGCAGTCGCTGGGGAACCATTGAGATCCAGACACCGCCACCACACCATCGAGACACATCGGGGCGCGACTGGGACATCATCGAAACTCAGCCGCAGCATCATTCAAACACCGCCGCAGGCCAATCGGGGCACTATGGGCAGGCCACCTTGACACAGTCAAGACACAACATGAACAGCCACGGCACTGCCAAAACGCAATCAGAACATCACGCGACGCCCTGGAACGCCGTCCGCTGGCCGGCGCAGCAGGGGCAGAAGCAGGAGTCAAGCCTGTGAAAGACCGTGCTGAAATGCACAATCGACATGAACCAATCACTGAACTGCACACGCCTTCCTGGAAGTGGGGCAACATTGCAGGAGCTTGCCCTCACGTCTGATCGTTCCTCCTCCGAAGAAGAAGGGGACAGCACAAAAAGGAATTAACGAGATGTACAGGCTCTCTATCTCTCCCGTTATGTTTTTTGTTGTTCTCTATCTCTCTCTCTCTCTCGCTCATTATGTATTGCTCTCACTCTCTCTCTCTCTCTCTCCTTCGCTTCTCTCTCTGTCTCTCTTTCATTCCCCCCTTCCCAATATGTCTCTCTCTCTCTCGCTCTTTCAATCCCACATTCTCTGTACGGCCCCCTCTCTCTCGTATTTATCTTTCTGCCCATCGCTGTCTCGTTGTCGATGTCACTCTCTCTCTCTCTCTTTCTCTGTTTCCTTCTCGCTGTAGTTATCCCTCTCTCTCTCTTGCTCTGTCTCTCTCTCTGCATCCTTCTCCCCCCGTCCCTCACCTCGTCAAACAGAAGGAAGGACGAGACGGAAGAGGATGTCTTCTTTCCCGTGCGGTCCCATATGCTCCCTGCCTTTCGCTTGTAACACCTGTCCCCTCGAATTGTGACCATCAGCCCCCCCCCTTACAAATCCAGTCGCTTGCCTAACCTCTACATCAGCACGTCACGTGATTTAAGCTGGGCGGTCACGCCTCATCGGCCCCCCATCGGGTGACAAGGAACACACAGGGGGGGAGGGCGAACGCTGAGCTGACAGCTCGATCTACGTATATCGACTTGCCCTTATAATGTCACTGCGGTCTGCAGGTCTACCGCAATGGATGTGCAGTTCGATTGCATGTGATGCTGCATTTCGATATGCATTGCGCTGTCTAAGTGAACGTGCGTCTCGCGCTGCAGTTCGATGTTCATGTCGATTTTCACTTCGATTCGATTGCAAATGTGCCCCGCGGGACGGGGACTGAACCCGTCTGCCCGACTTGGCACTACCCTCCCCTGGCACGGCACAGCATCGCTCTCGCGCAGCATCGCCTCGCCGGCGTGGAGAAGACGAACCCATCCTGAAATCGATTGCCTGGTTGAGCTCACTTCGAGCGCCCAACCACCCCAACGTCGGACATGAGACATGGTGCCAGGTAGCGGACATGAGACATGAAGCCGCAGCATGTCTTCCAAGGCGCAGAGCTCCTCCCCCTCATCCTTCCCTCCCCCTCCTCCTCCCTCATCCGCCTCCTCCACCCTTCCTCTCTCCCCCCCCCACTCCTCCTCCTCCTCCTCCTCCTCCTCCTCCTCCTCCTCCTCCTCCTCAGCCTCGTACCCCCCCCCGCTCGTTTTCATCTTCGTCGTCTTCAGGATCGGCGGCACCGGCCGTAAGGCCTTCGCAACATGAGACCAGGCAGCGGAGACCTGTAAGGGAACCTAACCTGCACAGCACGTCTTCGAGTGCGAAGACTGCAGGACACGACATGCAAGCAAAACGCACGGGGAGCCAACGTGCACGTCTGCGCAGTCCGCCTTTGGAGGGCCAGTGTGACCAACCGAGAAGCACCCCGCCGAGCTGGCCATGCAGTAACTACGCCTGCAGTAGGCCCGTGAGGCCACGAGATACGCCTGCAGGCATCCCCGCCAGACACTGTGACCGGGCGGCTCCCGGCCACACGTCGACCTGCACGGAGCGGGGCCTCCCAGGGTGCCGCACCCGTGCCCGGTCCCCCGGGGCTCAGAGGCCGAGGCTGGCCCTGCGCCCGCACCGCACCATCATTAAGTGCCCTGCTCGGTGCGCCGGCGCTGCCGGCTGACACGCACGCAGCCCTTCCCCCCCCCCCGCTGCCTAGTGCCAGGAGCTTCAGGCGGAGCATCTCTCCTTGGCGTGGCGGGCGGCGGAGGGGGTGTCGGAGGACGAGGCGCACGCGGAGGATCCGGAGTCGGCACCGACTTGGGCATCGAGGTTTACCCTGGACACATAGCAGCTCTTCATGTCTCGTTGCTCGGCAGAAGATCCCATGCATCTCCTCAGCGCTATGAGACATCGACAGATTACACTTTGGCACGTCGGCCAGCATCAAAGCTATCTCACGTTGTCCTTCTGCGCAAGACAAATGAGAAAATTATGCAACTTCCCGACAATCGACGCCAATCCACCTGGTGACTGCCTCATCTACCTCACCAGCATCGGGTCTGCGCTCCTCACATCTGCCCTCTGGCTAATTAACCCTCTGGCAAAAAGGTTCCTCATGCCGTCCCGGAAAAAAAATCATGCAATCAGAGAATATTTAACTCCCGAATGTGTCGAGCTCTGCTCAACACACCGTCATAAGATTTGTAGATTCGCGGCCTTGCTGATCAACACACAACTGCCAATACAATCACAGCCCAAAATAACGGCCCTCCATCTCGGCAGACAGGATGGAATACGGGCTCGCCAGAAACAGCGAGGCGCGACGATCGAATGACAGCTTAGTGCAGAACTAAATCCGTGAACAAATGGAGGACAAAAACGGTCAGGGCGGCGGCGGCCCCGGCAACACGCTGAGCCCTGCGAGCGGACAGCGTGTCGCTACGATCCGCGGGGCGGGAGGCCAGGAAAGGCTCGGGACGTTGACGCTTCAGGACTGGGTGCACTGTTTCCCCCGGGGCCGTAGGCGACCCGAGGAGGAGGAGGAGGAGGCGGAGGAGGAGGAGGAAGTGGAGGGGGAGAGGGATGAGGAGATGGAGGAGGATGAGCAGAAGGAGGAGCAGGAGGAGGAGGATGAGGCGGAGGAGGAGGAGGAAGAGAAAGATGAGGAGGAGGAGAAGGCGGAGGAGGAGGAGGAGGAGGAGGAGGAGGAGGAGGAGGAGGAGGAGGGGGAGGGGAGGAGGGGGAGGAGGAGGAGGAGGAGGAGGAGGAGGAGGAGGAGGAGGAAGAAGAAGAGGAGGAGAAGGCGGAGGAGGAGGAAGAAGAGGAGAAGGAAGAGGAGGAGGAGGAAGAGCAGAAGGAGGAGGCGGAGGAGGAGGATGAGGAGGACGGGTCGCCTAAGCCCATCGGAGAAGCCCTCCAGGACTGGGACGTGCACAGCGTGCCGCGCCGAGGCGTCGTGGGCCAGGGCAGGCGGCACGACACGCGAAGCGAGAGCTCTCGACCGCACACGAGGGCAGTCATCGGCCGGCCTCCCCGTCTGGTAGTTGTCCACGGCGTCCACCGGCTGTGCACAGTGGCGTTTGGCCTCCCCGCCCAGCCACCATCAGACGCTCGAGGCTCTCGAAGCTCCATGTCCAATTCACGCTTGGCCGATGACATCAACAGAGAAAATTGCTCCTGCTCCTCCTTTCTCCGCTCTCTCTCTTTCTTCTCTCTCTCTCTCTCTCTTTCTCCGCTCTCTCTTTCTTCTCTCTCTCTCTCTCACTCTCTGGCTCTTTTCCAATATCCCTCGCCTTCTGTCCTGATCCCATGGATTCCCTGCCTGCCCCCGCTGCGCTGCACGAGCGCACGGCCGCCGAAGCAGCTCCGAGTGCGCACGCTGCCGAACTTGGACCCCCCGCGCGGGCGCCTCGCACGCCGCACAGCTCAGCGGCAGAGGCACCCGACGCTCTCCGCGCGGAGCCACTGCGCAGCGGGAGGCGCCCGCTTGGCCCGGCATCGAGTTGGCGGCGAGCCCGGCGGGGGGAAGCGAGCCTGGGGCAGGCCCTCTCAGAGGGCGGCGGGGCCTCCCGGAAGCCCTCCGGCTCTCCGAGCGGCCGCCCCTGGACTGGGAGAGAAGGCCCGGGGAATGGCTCGGACGGCCGGGGGCCTTCCGAGCCATCGAAGCAGACGCGCCCCCTCTGCTGGAAGGCCAGCGCGCCATCACCCGGGCCTCCGGCGGCCGCTCGGAAGGATCCGGGCACCCCGGGAAGAAGCCGCCGACGATGCGCGCAGCTGCTGGAGAGCAGCCCGAAGATGGAGGAGCGCCGGGAGCCATCGAAGGCCGGTGCCGTGGCAAACGCCTCGAGCCTGGGGCTCGCCGCAGAATAGAGGAGGAGGAGGAGGAGGAGGAGGAGGAGGAGGAGGAGGAGGAGGAGGAGGAGGAGGAGGGGAAGAAGCCGCCGACGAGGCGCAGCTGCTGGAAAGGCAGCCCGAAGCTGGATAGAAGCGCCGCGAGCCATCGAAGGCCGATGCCGTTGCAAACACGTCGAGCCTGGGGCTCGCCGCAGACTAGAGGACCAGGCTGGGAAGAGACCGCCCGGCGGACTTCGCGGTCGATCGGGGACGGACAGAGCCCCCTTTAATACAACGTCCCTGACCTTCCAGAGAGCTATTCTTTAGCATTGGAGACCAAAAAACCTAAAAAACGAAACGAAACAGCCTAAAACCAAGACGTAGAATACCTCTGGGATAGGTTTTTACGTCGCGTGGTATTTTTTAGCCCTCCTGGAAGGTCAGGGGTGGTTTGGTGACACCGCCCTCGAGCCCAAACCTGGCGGTCTCAAGCCTGAAAAATGACGACCTCGACGGCTTCTCGAGAAATGGACACAGACAATTCACTGATCGACGTGTCAGGGTGGGGGTTCTGTCCACCTCCGAGCCGATGGGCTGGCCGCAGGGCATGGGTGGCACAAAGACATGCTAGTACAATTTGTCCTCCTTGGAGGCGCGCGCCGACCCGAACATATAGTATACCCATCTTGTAGTACACCGTTTCCCGAGCGGTCGTGGCCAACAAGCGCCCGCCACGACGCGTATGCTTCGGTGGTGGACAAACCTCCCTCCAGCAAACCTCCCCTTACTGAAAACGGCCAGGGACCGAAACCGACGGACCCGGACCCGCAAAACTGACGGCCGCGACGCCCTCTCGCGAACCGACAACGGCCAATTCCTTAGTCGACGCGTCAGGGTGGGAGGTCCATCCACCTCCGAGCACTGCAAGAGTTCTCGGTGCGCGCGTCACCCCCCCTGGGGAGGGCGACGCACACGTATGGGAACAAGGACAAGGCGGCACCAACACCAGCAGGGCGAGGAGGTGCGAGGAGGCGAGGGGACTCGCTGGAGGTGGGCCCCCTGGTGGTGTTGGTATCGCCTCCATACTCCCTCTGACTATAGCACAAGGAGGGAGAAGGGAGGAGGGAGGAGGGGGGAGGAGGAGGAGGAGGAGGAAGGAGGAGGAGGAGGAGGAGGGAGGAGGAGGAGGAGGAGGAGGAGGAGGAGGAGGAGGAGGACCTTTTTTTGGACCTTTTGTTAAGCACAGCGTGCCGCGGGGGGAACGAGAGAAGAACCACTCAGCACCCAAGGTGGCTGCCGAACGGCAGCCACCCCCCGACCCTTCGACCCCTCCGAACGGAGGGCGGCGAGAGGTCGCCGAGCGTGGCGGGGTGGGTGCTGAGGACTTCCCCCAACAGCGCGCTGTGCCTCCGTCGCGCTCGAGGGAGCTCCGACAGCCAAGGCTCCCAGACCCTCGTCTGGGAACTGAGGCGGCGTGCTGCCCGAGGCACGCCCGCGGTGAGTGCGGGGCCTCGGCACCGCCGAAAGGCGGGGGGGTTTAAGGTGAACCCCGAACTCAAATCGACCACCCCTCGGCACGCCAGCGGTGAGTGCTGGGCCGAGGCACCGCCCTAAAGGCGGGGGGGTTTTGTAGGGAAACCCCGAACCTATGCGAACGACGGCGGTCGACGCGGGTGACCGCCGCCCCCACGGCACGCCAGCGGTGAGTGCTGGGCCGTGGCACGCCGAAGCGGGGGGTTTTAAAGGATAACCCCGAACCTACCGTATCACCAGGCTGGTGGCCCAAGTCCTGCACGGCGAGCGGCGGCCTTGATGAATCCGCTGGGGTTGCGGATCTTGGCCTTCATCGCGATCATCTCCTCCACGAGCTGCGAGGCCCAGTAGTCACCAAAACCCGCCAAAGCGGACACGGCCTCGTCGTCGATGGGATTGAAAGCGAACTCGCGGGTGTTGAGAACCTCCACCATCCGCTTGGCACGCAGGTACATCATGTCCTCGTCAAGCGGAGCGGGCCCTGGAGAAGAAGAACAGGAAGAAATCTTCTCGGCGCCGACACCGAAGGAGAGCCCAGAGGACTTGGCGGCATACTCGATCTCGCCCTCGGACTCCTGGTTGGCTCCACTCGACGCTTCAGCAAGAACCTCCTCGCCGTCGGCGGGGCTCACCACCTCCCGCACGGCGGAGTCCTCGTGAAAGCTGGGAAGCGCGCCGTCCTTCTTCTCCCCAATCAGCTCGGTGATGCAGTCGCTGACGACCTTAGCCTCGATATGCTGGAGCTCCTGTGAGAAACCCCAGGCAACGGCACGAGTCGCCATGAGCTCGTCGCAGAGGCTGTCGGCGACCGCCTGACACTCCTGAAGGCGACCCTCGGCCGAAGAGAGCAGCTCCTGGCACTCGGCGACCCGCGCGCGCTCGACCAGCAGCATGCCCTCAGCCTCGTCCGCGCGCTGGTTGTGGGCGAAAGCCTCCTCCTTGACCAGCGCCAGCTCCTGCTTGACCCGCGCCAGCTCCTGCAGGGACCCAGACAGGCCGTCCCCGCTGCCCGACGCCGAGTCGGAGTGATAGCCTTCGTCCCCGCTGGCACCCGTGGAACAGCAGGTCGGGGGGGCAGCCGCGCACGAAAGAGCGCCGTGGATCTTGTCGAGCAGCTCACGGTGCGGGTGCGCGCAAGCGCGCCGGCCGTTGCGCAGGCTGACCCACTCCTTGGCGAGCTCGCGGTGCCCGCCGTCCACGAGACGACGACGAATGTCCTCGCCCGTGGCCTTCTTGTGGTCGTGCCCGTACTTGATGAGCACGTCCTCGTAGCCGTCGATGACAGCGCAGGCCGAACAGGCCTCCGGAACGCCGCCAATGCCGGCTCCCGCCGCCGGAGCAGCAAGGCAGGCGGTGGCCGCCGCCACCACCGCCTCCTTGAGAAGCCACTCCCGGAGCGGCCGCTTGACCACCGTGGCGCTGACCGAAGAGAGCAGCGCTGCAAGCTTGGCCTCGACCGCCGAGCACGCCGACATGGCGAACTGGGCCGAGGGCACGAGGGAACCGTATGCAGGGTGCGCGGAGCAAAACTGGCGAGCCAGCCCCTTGAGCCAAAAATGGCTACGGAGGAGGAGGAGGAGGAGGAGGAGGAGGAGGAGGAGGAGGAGGGAGGAGGAGAAGGAAGGAGGAGGAGGAGACCTCCCTATGGGGCCACGAAGTATGTTAGGGGTGACGCCGAGGGCAGCCGCGGGGCGGCTCCGCCGCCCGTGCGGCGGCGCTGCGGTGCGCCTCCGGGCGCAGGGCCCCTCCGGGGGCAGCGCAGCTCGCCGCGGCCCCCTCCGAGGGGGCCCGACGGCTCACGGAGCGCACGGCGCGGGAGGAGGCCGCGGGGCGACCCCTCTCTCGGCCCGCACAAGACGAAAGGGGCCCCAGGACACACAAATGAATACACACAAATAAAACTATTCCCCATATGTTCCCATATGTTCTGGGATTTTGTCTTCCCCCCCACTTCCCATATTTTCCAATGTTTTCCTGGGGATCATCGATTCATTGTGTCTGTGTGATTTTTCCCTCCTGAAAGAAGTGCGCACGGTCGACCGGCACAGTAAGGACGCACGGCGACGATGCGAGGGCCATGGATAGGGGGGGGCGACGCATGACACAGACATAAAAACTCGGAGGTCCGCGCGGGCGTCTCGGATCCGCGCTGGACCCCCCCCCCTGGCGTTGCCTCCGGCGCCGCCCCTGGCGCGCTCCGCGCGCCAGGGAGGGGGGCCCGACGCCGATGCGAGGAATCCGCGCGGGCCTTCGAAATGTTATGTTTATGTCATGCGCCGCTCCCCTAAGTGACGAACGAACACAGGGGGGGTCGTTGTGAGGAGCACTGGCTATTGGTATGGGTGCGGGTTGTCGGACCCTGGAGAACTGTCCGTTCGAGCGGGGATCCCCATCCGTGAACAAGCACCCATAGCCCCCGACCCCCTGTGGATATGGGTGTGTGTTATTGGTTCGCTCTCCTACGGGAAGACCACGTTGACACTCTGCGGGCGGGGCGCGGCCAGCGAGAGCGGCCACGGGCGGTCCGAACGGGAGGGCTGCGCATGGGCCACCCTGGGAAGTCGCTCGTCCTGCCTGTGCGGGTTGACTGGATCCCGGGATCTTGCCCCCACCCCAACTGCCCGATGCGGTCTCTCGGCCCGCCCTCCCCTGCCTAGCCTGGGTTTCCCCTCTGCGTTGTCCTCGATCTGCCCTTCGGTAGGCGCTGTCGGTTGCAAGGGCTCTGCGCTGATGCCTCCACTTTTTGAGGAGGTCGGCGCCGTGGGCCAGCCAGAGTGCCGACGCATCGTAAAGGACACTTTGCAGACACGGCCAGCCGCCTCGAAAACTAGCACTACAAAGCCCAGTCGATGAGAGGACGGGGGCGGGGTAAGGAGAGGCGAGAGGAAAGGAGGGGAGGGGAGGGGAGGGGAGGGGAGAAAGGAGAGAAGAATGAGAGAGGAAGGGAGGATGGAACGTCCCCCCCTGCCAATCTCCGCTCGCGGTCGTTCGAACAACAGCTATGGATGCCCGTGTTCATACAAGGCGTGATCTGGTATTGAGCTGTGCTTTAAGTCGGATGGCACGTGTTGGAGGACCGTGTTGAAGACTGAGCGAAGACACGACCTGCCAATCCCCGCCCTTCTCCTCTGCAGACCCCCGCCGCGCTGCCTGCCCGACGCGCTTGGTGTCGACGCGCTTTGAGGGGCGCCGAATCAAGCTGCTCACCTTGTAAAGCTTGTCCAACATGACGGTCCTCACCGCCGCGGGCGACGCGCGGGTTGGGCGAGGATGGGGAGGGGCAGGAGCGAGCTCTCAAAAACGGCGGTGGGCGAGCGGTGGAGGCAGAATTGCTCTGCCAGCCGAATTCGCGGGCCGGGGTTCGGTCGCGCGAGGAAAGGGGGGCCCAGGGACACACAACAAAAGAGGCACGACTCTCACGAATCCCCATCGTGTTCTACATGTTCTGGCTTTTTGTTGTCTTCCCCCCCCCCGCCACTTCCCATGTGTTCCCGTGATTACTTTCCTGGGAGTCGACGAGGACCTGTGTCTGTGTGTTCTTGGCCCCCTCCCGAGCGAGGGCAGCGGAGATGAGGCTCGCACAGGAGGTCTGGCCGGCGGGCGCGCCGACGAGGCCCAGGGCCCGCCGGGCGGGGAGCGGGGCCGCGCACACGCACGGAGTTGGCCCGTGCACGAGCAGAGGCAGAGCGGAGGGAGGAAGCGGCCGCGCAGGCAGCAGGGGACAGAGAGACCTTACGAGCCTCGAACTTATCCGTATCCCTGAGGTTGACACGCCAAAAAGCGATGACAATCTTAGGGATGTGCCCTCAAAAAAAAGGGAATCCCTAAGATCGGCATCGTGATGAGGAGATGCCCAGCATAGGGATAGCGATATGTTCCAGGCTGGTAAAGACGGGGGCGGACGGATAGCAATAGCAGGGGAAGCCACAGCACAGGGCAGCAGAGGGTGCAAGGGCAACAGCAGGGTGCCATGGCACGGGGTCGGTGCACGAGACGGGCAGAGCGGAGGAGAGAGCAGCCGCCAGGCGGCGGGGGACGAGAGCCGTGGCGGACGAAAGGGGTGAGATAGCAAAGGGCAGGATCGAGAGTCTAGGGGAGCGAAGTTTTAAGTTAAAAACAAGAGAAAACAGCGAGGTCCCCGCCGCGCGGATTTCTCGGATCGGCGCCCCTGTGCCGAGGCCGCCTGCGCGCCCCTTCCCGTCGACTCGACGGTCGGGCGTCCGTCACCCTTGTGCCCCCGCGCCCGCCCTCCTCCTCCTCCTCCTCCTCCTCCTCCTCCTCTTCCTCCTCCATCCTTCCTTCTCCTCCTCCTCCTCCTCCTCCTCCTCCTCCTCCTCCTCCTCCTCCTCCTCCTCCCCCTCCTCCTCCTCCTCCACTTCCTCCCCCTCCTCCTCCTCCTCCTCCTCCTCCTCCTCCTCCTCCTCCTCCAGCACAGGCCTGCCGCCCTCCAAGACTGCGCGCCAGCTGTGCAGAACGCGCGAGGCTCAAACGAACGGGACTCTCTCAAACGAGGCACTGCGACGCAACAGAGGTGAGAGCCTCGAACGGCCCCAAGGTGACCTAAGACTGCCGCACCGAGAGGGTCAAGATAGCCTACAAGATGGCTTCCCAGATGCCCAGATACTGCCCCTGTACTTCCCATGACTGCCCCACTCCTCGCACTGCCCAGAAGACCGCCTGATGGCCCGAATACCTCCAAAAGACCCATCCGAGGCCACCACGGATCACCCTAGGAGGCTCCTGAGAGGCCAAGCATCAATTTCACATCGCCGCCAATGCGGACACGGCGGCAAGAAAACCTCGCAAGATTATTATCGCGCGAGGTGCAATTGGGGGGGAAATCCGAGGCACCCGAACGCACCAGCGTCTCAATGCCAGCGGAACATCACCACGCAGCGCGTGCAGCAGAGACACCCAAGGCACCCCATACGATTAGATTGCTCCCATCGTACTTCAAAACCACATCCCCAAAATCATTTCGAGCGCCCAGAACGGTGTTGAAGCAATGGCGAACGAGTATCGCCTCCCAGGGCCCGACACGTGACAACCCTCACGTTTCGGTACGTTCTTGGTTCTCGACGTTTTTCTGGTGGTTCAGGACAAAGTAGGTTGGAGCATCATATCCCTACGAGAAGCACAATTGGTTCCTTGATGTGGGCCCCCGCTGCACCGGAAAACGCAGAGACCTACGGCTGGCAAGTCTTCGGTCACCGGCTTGTTTCGGCCGCGCTCCTGCTCCGCTGAGAGAGGCCGGGCACCATGAGGAGCCCGCCTGCTCCACATCCCCCCCCCTCAGCCCCGAGTCCGGAGCTCAAAGAGGGTCCCAGCTGATGGGGTCGGAGGTCCGCGCTGCACCCCTGATGCATCGACGATGCATCGGCGACCTCGCCGATGCAGCGGCACCATGGGCGAAAAGAACACCGGGCTCCACACCAAACCGTGTCGTCCATGCTCGGGCGTTGGCAGAACTGGGTTCAGTGGGAACTGGTTTAGTGATGTGTACCGGTGGACGCCCCCCCCCGCCCCATTCCACTCACTAGAACTGCCGCCACCCGAGAAAGAACACCAGCTGCGGCAAACCTGGCTTAGCGATTCTGGCCAATTCAGGGGCTCCAGGGCCCTACCACTCATCGAGAGCGCTATCACCGCCACGCTCGGCGACACCGTCGGCGCCTGCATCGGCACCGCCATCGGCACCGCCATCGGCACCGCCAGCTCGGCGCCGCCAGCTCGGCGACCTGGTCTCCACATCGCGAGGCAAGCGACTGGCGACCAGGCGCTACTCCTTCTCATATCCTCGTCCTATCCTCCTCCTCCTCCTCCTCCTCCTCCTCCTCCTCCTCCTCCTCCTCCTCCTCCTCCTCCTCCTCCTCCCCCTCCTCCTCCCCCTCCTCCTCCTCCTCCTCCTCCGCCTCCTCCTCCTCATGTTTCTCCTCCTCATCCTGGCCATACCCGATATGCATCGGCGGTGCGGCGCGAGCCTCCGACCCCGCCGCCTCTGGCCCCGCCCTGGGAGAGGCCCACGGTCGGGCGCGCTGGGTCCGCACGGCCACGGCGGCGGCCCCCGCCGACCCGCTATATAGCCCCACTGCAAGCGACTATCGAAGCATTTGCCTGGGGTGGAGGGCTCAGGGTGACATCCACATGGGCCTTTGCACCTCGAAGATCAATCCGTCTTGCGATTCACCTTCTGCGGGCTCAGGCCTCGGAAGCCCATCGAAACAGCATTTCAGCTTTCACCCTGTGCCCTCCACCCAGAGAAAATGCTCGGACTATAGCGAGTCGCGCCGCTCCGCGGGGCGGGAGGTCTGGAGAGGCCTGGGGAGGTTTCTGGGTGACCCAGAAGGGGGTCCAGCTGCAAGGGGGTGGTGCAATTGATTTGGGGCAACTGTATTGTACATGTATTGCGCAGGAGGATCGTATTGCATTGGATTGCAAGTCGTGCGTTGCACGCGAACATACAGCAATACATCTGCGCCCCAGAATGTATTGCACGCCCCGAATATATTGCAACCCCGCAAATCTATTGCACCAGATATATTGCACCACCCCATTGTCGCTGGACCCCCTTTTAGGTCAACCCGAAAAATGAAGCCTGGGAACTGGAACGCGGATGGCGTATCGCGCCGAGGCGTTCTGGGCCAGAAGCGGCAGATGACACGCGATCCCAAAGTTCCCGACCGTTGGGATCCCCCCCCCAGCCACCCGACGTCGTGATTCTTTTCGCAGCGTCGTCCCCCAGAGGTCTACATCCCTTCGTCTCCTGAATCGTCGTTAGACGCTCCCGAGGCCCGGCCAGGGCCCCACGAGGCCGAAGATTGTGGAAACCCTCCCGTCGTGACCTGCTCGCGTCGCGGGGGGTCTGCCCCCCCCCCCGAGCCTTAAGTCGGGCGTGTCCCCCTACAGGGGGATTTTCTCTGAAAAATTAAGAAAATACCACCAAAAAGATCAAACACATACTCCAAAGATAGTCCCCAGACTATTTTTGGACCATCGTTTTACTATTTTTGGGGGTATTTGTTTTCTTTTTCGTCGCAAATCCCCCTGTAGGGGGACAGGCTCCACTTCACCCGAGCCCCCGAGTCCTGGACAGCACATCGATCCCGTCAGAACCCGGCCATCGCTCCACGCCGCGTGCCGCGCGGCGGCGCGGCGGCGCGCGGGGTGGCAGCCCGGATGGGGGGGGGTGCTGCCCGGGGCAGCGTGCGCGCGCGCGCGAGCTCGTCGTCCTTCGGCCAGCGCAGGCGCACCTGTGCGTCGTGCCCCTCCGCAGGAGCGGCCCCGTGCCCGGAGAGGAGCCGATCGCATCTGGCTTCAATGGCTCCATCGCCGGCGGCGGCGGCCGGGCCCCCGGGGCCAGGGAGCGGAGCCAGGACGCTGTGCGTCGCCCCTCCGCAGAGCGGCCCGTGCCCAGAGAGGAGCCGATCGAAGCTGGCTTCAGGCTCTACGGCCGGCCAAGCCCGCGCGGCCAAAGCGGCCAGGCAGGCAACGAGAAGGAACGGGCTCGATGCAAGATAGCTGATGGGCCTGCTTTCCACCGCCGCTGCCATAAGTTTGAGGGGGGAAGGAGGAGGAGGAGGAGGAGGAGGATGAGGAGGAGAAGAAAGAGGAGGAGGTGGAGGAGGAGGAGGAGGAGGAGGACCCCCTCCCCCTCCTACTTGTGGGGGTGGTGGTGGAAAACAAGCCCATCAGTAGCATCGCGACCAGACGCGGTGCCCTACGCGGGCCGCCAGCGCGGCACGCTACATTGGAAACGAGGGCGCTTGCGCGGCCTGCGCGCGACCTTCCGCGGACAGCTCATGCGCCAACGCCGGCGCAGTCGACCCCTTTCTTTTTCGTCGCTCCTGTGCACGTGTGCCCACCCCCCGCGTTCACGCGTGGCACGAGCAGTCGCGTCTAGACTTGGCCAGGCGGCAGCTGACCGCACACATCTAGATGCGTGCGCCGCTGTCCTCGTCCTCGGAGGCGGGGGGGCCCGAAAAGGGGGCCCGACGGCGAGGATCACAGGAAGCCCGCTCGAGACCAGTCGGGACCCCATCCCTCTAAGTCCAGAGCTCGACCAAAACAATGATTTTCGTTTTCGCTTTGTTTTCGTTGTCCCTCGCTTTGCCTTCGTTCCGCCTCCGGTGCAGAACGACGTCAAGACGAGAACGGTCCGAGAAAGCGCCCAAGGGCACCGCATGGGTCGAGCCCTGTACACAAGTCCCCGTATGCAGCCCCCCGGGGTCTGCTGCTCGGGGGGCAGAGAGTTGCCGATGCTGCCCTTCCCTGGCCTCCCCAGCGAATGGTTACCAAGCCCGCTTCAAAGGCCACTAAGCCGGGTTAGCCCAAATTGAGCCTACAATCAAACTACATTGGGCGAGATTGCGCGGGATCCGACGGGACTGCCAGGGATATGTCAGATCAAGCGGGTTTCCATCCTGGACGTACCAGCGACGATGCTGAAGTTAACCTCCCAGGAGTTGCATCCTGGAGCATCTCTTTCTCCTCTGAGCTCCGGGCTGCCCCTCCTCCTCCTCCTCCTCCTCCTCCTTCTCCTCCTCCTCCTCCTCCGCATCCTGCTCAGAGAAACAGGCCAGCTGCTGCTTGAACGAGGCGCAGCTGCTTGGAAACATCCCGAAGCTGGACACCCGCCGAGAACCGACAAAAACCATACGAACACTTCGAACCTCGAACCCGAACTGCCTCCCCCCCAGCATCCCGAAGGTGGACAACCGACGAGAACCGACAAAAGATGCATGAGAACCGCCACTCTGGGTTTCTTAGTAAGCGTGTGGGGGGGTACCCCCCTGACGGGGGTCAACCTCGCCTCGTCGCCGCTCCGCGACGGTGGTCGGAGGCGCCGTCGGCGCGCGGTGGCCGCCCGCAACGGGGGTCGCTGTGGGACTGTCGGCGGGGGTGACGCCCCCCCGACGCTTATTCAGAAGCTCGGAGTAGCCTCGAACCCGAACAGCCGCTCGCCCGGGGCGCGCCGCCGAATGGCCGAGATGCCCGCCCGGCGGGCGGGCCGCCCCCGCTGGAGCCACGCCGGGAGGCTCCCCGCCGTGGCCCGCCTGCCGTCCCGAAGGCCCTCCCGACGCCGCCTGCGGGAAGCCCACGGAACGCGGCGACACCGCGGCACAACAGAGGCAGCATCCATACCACCGAAGCACACAGGAAGAGCCCAAGGGGCGGACCAAAGTCGAGAGACGAGGAAAGGAGAAGAGAGAGACAGAGAAAGGGAAGAAGATGCAACAAAAAAGCAGACCGAAAATCGACACACGGAAACTCCACCCTGAACGCCACCTCCACCTCCACGCCAAGCCGAGGTCCTCGCCCCCCCTCTTGGATGCCCCCGACGCTTCCTCGGCTCTGCCCCTCGGTCAGCACCGCCACCTACCCCCCCCCCTTCCTCCCCCTCCTCCTCCCCCTCCTCCTCCCCCACCTCCTCCCCCTCCCCTCCTCCCCTCCTCCCCTCCTCCTCCTCCCTCCTCCTCCTCCTCCTCCCCTCCTCCCCTCCTCCTCCTCCTCCACCCCCTCTCCACCCCCTCCTCCCCTCCCCCTCCCCCCCTCCTCCCCCTTGTTCCTGGCTACTGGTGGCTGCATGGTCGTTCACCCCCCCTCCTCCTCCTCCTCATCCGCCTCCTCCTCCTCCTTCTCCTCCTCCTCATCCTCTCCTCCCCTCTCCTCCTCCTCCTCCTCCTCCTGCTCCTCCTCCTCCTGTGGGCCCCTGCGCCAAAAGCCCGTCCTCCTCCTCCTCCTCCACCTCCTCCTCCTGTTCCTCCTCCTCCCACAATTGAGGTATCCAAAAAGCGAAGAGCACTCCGGGGTGGACAGCCCAACAGCGAAGCCACTCGTAGAACAAGGACGCGCGAGAAGGATGCAAGGGCCCTGGAGGGCCACGTCGCGGGGCGCGGCCAGCCAAGGCGGCCAAGGGTGGACCGAAGGGAAACGATGCAAGGGTAGCCTCGGTGAGTGGCTCCTCCTCAGTATGCGAAATGACTGCAAGAGTGCTCCTCCAAAACGTACAGGGCGCGCACTGGGCCTCGCGGAGGCCGACCTTCCCTCGATGGAGGCACTGGGGAAGCGCCTCTGCGCGAAGGGCGCAGGGGGGCGAGTGCTCCGACTCCTCTGTTCCCTCCGCGGCGTCCGAGGGAGGCCCCGCACTAGGCCTCAACGAACCGCCCTCGGGGCTCCGTCCCATCTCATCTCCACTCTCGGCGAGCCTTTTGGACTGCCCGTGCTGCGCCAGAGGCCCCGTGCTGCAAACAGCAGCCGGGAGCAGAGGCCCCAGTCGGCCCGCCGGTGCGGGCGGCACGGGGAGGGCGGCGTGACGAGGGAACGGAGGAGGAGGGCGGGGCGGACGACGATGGAGGACGAGGACGAGGACGAGGAGGAGAGCTGGATGGAGGAGGACGAGGAGGACGAGGAGGACGAGGAGGAGAGCTGGATGGAGCAGGGAGCCGAGGGCGAGGACATAGCAGCTGTGCGCACTGCGCTGCAAGCCGCATGGCCGTGGTGCTCGAGCATCTGCTTCGGCGAGAGGGTGCTGCCGATCCCGTCGCGCGTGCGGTTCAGGATGCTGTGCTGGTCACGGCTTGGGGAAGCGAACTACTGCAACACTTTCCCAAGCTCAGGTTTGCGTCGCTTGAACAAGGTCGTTCTTGAACCGATGTGACTGCTATGCCTTGCCGTGAAGCCAGCGTCTGGCTGCGAGGAGTGGTTCCACCAGACTATCACGGGACAGGCCAATCCTTCGACACCCCATCGGT